CCTCCCCCCCCCCCCCCCCATGGATCCTTCAATGAGGAATCCAATGAGGTAACATGTACTCGTGGGTCAGAGAAAATTTGAATAGTGATCTTTCGACGGAACTTATTTACTTTAACTACCCACCCCATTTATTCGCAGGAAGTTCATCAATCAAACTTAATTTGTTCAGAAAGGTCAGCCTTTCTTTCTTCCTCGATGTAGCTAAATTTTCCCTGTGGCATGTTCAATGAGAGAAATTAATAAAAAAGTGAGGTAATTTTGAATTTAGTACTCCCCTCTCTTTTTTCTCTCTCAAGGTGTTAAAAATGGTCAGTCTTCAGATGAATGTAGAGCACAACGAGCTGTGTCGAATGACACCAAAATCAACAAAATCCGAAACCCATGAAAATTGAAAAACCACAGGGGTTTTCTTTCCAATTTCACCAAAATAAAAATTAGAATTTGAATCAATATTCTTATTTTTGCCATTTCAGTTATTACCACATGGTTAAGCAGGACCATGTACTTTTTTGGTACCATTTTCTTTTATTCTTGTCTTTTTTACATGCGTTTCAACTTCTCCGGCTGTGCTTATTTAGTTAGATATACATGGACGAAGCAAAAAAATCATAACATAGGAAATCAAGGACTAACCATGTGGTAATAACTGAAATGGCAAAAATAAGAATATTGATTCAAATGTTAACTTCTATTTTGGTGAAATTGGAAAGAAAAATTTATCTTTTCTTTTATTAATTTCTCTCATTGAACGTGCCACAGGGAAAATTGAGTAACATCGGGGAAGAAAGAAAGGCTGACCTTTCTGAACAAATTAAGTTTGATTGATGAACTTCATGCGAATAAATGGGGTGGGTAGTTAAAGTAAATAAGTTCCCTTTCGACATCCCTTTTAATCCCCAAATATCCATCCTAATCCTAAAATTCGTGGATATCCTTTCAGATCCCCGTTAATCCAACGAATATTCTTTTTTACTTCTAATCGCTCTACTTGAATGACTCTACAAATTTTCAAATTCCGATTTAATAAGTTCTAATCCCTCGAATATTTATGGTTGACCTTCCATGGAATTTACTTGATATGTTCATATGTACTAGGTTATATATCTTAGCCTCAGTGTCTAATATCGACCCCCATCAAAAACCAGCCAACTTCCCAAAATTTGCGAAAATCGGGAATTTTGGTTTTTTGTTGGCAGAACCCTGGTACATACAACCAAACTCCGCCTAACCTACTTCCTTCCAAACAGCCACATAGCAGGGTGTCCGAAACAAAATTTAAATTAATAAACACGATATTTCTGAGCGAAATAACGAAAAAGCGAGATCCGACGAGAAAACATAACTTACAGACGATATCTACAAAGATATCCAAACAAATATAATTAATTTTTTATTTAAAAAAGGGAACCGCTGAGACACAAAAAGGGAACGTGTTAGATTTATACCGTAAATTCTAATTCTAGCATAGTGCTTCTATTTTTCGATCCCCTCATAGGCTGTGCTTCTGTCGTTTCCTACCAACAACCCTACTTATTAATATAAGTACCTTGAAGACTCGACAAAATAAAAAATGCAATATTTAATAGATTCATATTAAAATCTCTTAAATTAAAATAAATTTATTTATTCTCAAAATTTTAAAATTTTCAAAATTTTTGCCTATGGTGTTGAAAAGGAAGAAATCTGTTAGGGTTTTCTATAAAAATTCTAAATCCTCCTTATTCTGATATAACCCTCCTCTAATTCACTTAACCCCTACTCTGATTTAACTTATATCTCCCTTGATCAATTCAGACCCTAGGAAAAATTTATGTTCGGTTTCGGTTCAATTTTTCGGTTCGGTTCCGGTTATTCTAAGTTTCCTTTGTAACCCAATCATATATCCTTCCATCTGATGAAACCGGCAACCCTAGCTTGAAGGAAGGAGTTACGAAATTATTATTATAAAGTGATTCAGAAGATGTAAATATTTAACAAGTCTACTATAAAATTTTGTCGCAAAAATAAAAAACTTAGTTAATTTTAAGCATAAATAATAAATAATTTAAATTAATTTTTTTAATTTTAATTTTTTAATTGAATGACAAAAATTAAAAGAGTGGAATAATATTTAAATAGCTGAGTTCCTTTTCCGAACAATACCATATGTTTACTATGAGGGAGCGAGCTTTTACTATGAGGCAATGAGGGAGCGAGCTGTTTCGAAATTTCGACCCCGCTCAGCTCTATATCTAATTAATCGTTTAACATTGATTAGTCTTACTTTAAAAATTTAGCTTTTAAAATAAAAAAAATTAATTACTAATTTTAAATATTAAAGAATAAATTTGAAAACAAGATTCTATTTTCAATAACTATTTTGTATAGTTTCAACAACAAAATTTGGCATATATGGCGAAGATTCATCAAGAGAAAAATTTAAAAATTAACAATTAAATAATCTTTTCCTTTAGATAAATCTATTCAGTATATGCCAACTTTTGTTGTTGAAACTATATAAAATAGTACTGGCATGTTTATTGAAAATAGAATTTTGTTTTTAGATTTAATTTTTTAATATTTAAAGTTAGTAAATAATTTTTTTTCTAAAAGCTAAATTTTTAAAGCAAGACTAATCAATGTTAAGCGATTAATTAGACGTAGAGCAGAGCGGGATCGAAATTTCGAAACAGCCCTCACTCCCTCATTGCCTTCTCTATAATGAATTATTAAAAAGACATAGTAGTCGGCTCTTATTCTAAGGATACATTTAGACAAATCCTTAGTGGTATTGCCGGAAAAGGAACAAAACTATTTAAATATTATTCTAATCCTTAATTTTGCCATTTAATTTAAAAATTAAAAGTAAAAAATTAATTTAAATTATTTATTATTTTGTTTAAAATTAACTAAGGTTTTTATTTTTGCGAGAAACTTTTAGTTTACTTGTTAAATATATTGTAGTGTCGCATTATAAAATGAAATTATGTAGCACTAGAAAATCCAACTTGATATTGTAAAGCATATAACTCTTAGTCTCAGGTGCAGTAAAATCAGAATCGGAATTCAAAAAAGTGATAATCTCTAAGAACGTTATCCGTTTCGTGGTGTACTATGCGTTATACCCGCGAAGTTTCAGAGAAAATTTTTAAAATTATTATTATTATTATTAACCCAGGGTTTAGGTCAAGAGGTCAACCCTTAAATCCGTCAACACATAACTCGCGGATAAAAGGAGATTTTAGGGATGGTACCAAAGTTTTCCAAAATCATATCGGTACAGTCCCGGTTCCGGGAGTACCGAAAAGTATCGATTCGGTACTTTCGGGGGTACTGCGGGAGTACCGAACTGTGCCGAAGACTACTTGAAATAAATTTTCATTGTTTGGACCAACTTCCCCGTGATTTTCCTAAATGAATCACTAAATGTGAGAAAGTGCAATATCAATTTTGTGAAATAAGGGTTACGAAGGATAGTTTTTTGTAGTATATTGTGGAGATCCTGGGATTTGGGTATGTATCTGAATATTTAGGGGATATTCTTTAAATGAGAATATCTATAGCATCTTAATTTGAGCTATTTTAATCAATATATAGCCACAGTTAATCAATATAATCAATATATAGCCACACCGCGATTGAACGTTATCGGTTTCGTGGTGTACTATGCGTTATACCCGCGAAGTTTCAAAGAAGATTTATTAGAAATTTTCATCAAAAGTTAATTTATCAAAGATGAAAAATTTTTAAGAGAAATATAAAGAATGAAAATTCAACAATTATTATTAATTCTGCAATTTCTATTTGCAATTGAATATTTATTTAAAGGTATACAAAATTTACAAATCAGACAGGCTTGGTGCACGACGCCGTTTCCCGGGTCATATCTCAAACTCTCAATACTCTTCGTTTAGTGATCTTCCAAAATTTTCAAAATTTTCGCCTACGGCGCTGAAATGGATACCGCGGTATTTTATGGTATCGGTATTTACCGGTTAAATACCGCCTGTACCTGCCGTACCGGTCGATTCTGTAAAAATCGTTATTTTTATAAAAATGGAAATTCTCAAAATTTGTGTCTGCAGCGCCAAAAAATTGGCTCAAATCTGGCACCTTTACCGATACCGGTATCGGAAAAACGCATTTGAATAACACTAATTTTCAAACCCTTCACCGTTCTTGGCTGTTTCTATCGGTAAACAAAAATTTTTGCTTACAGTAACTTGTAGATAAAAGATTAATTATTTTTTAATAAAGGAGCTCTTGGCGGGTGCGTTGGAAGCTCTTCAACGCTCGATGGCACATGTTCTTGTGGAACTTATGAGATAACCCGATTCAGCGTAGACAGAAAGATAAATTCCATCAATTTAAAAGTCAATGAGAGCGATCCAATAGGAGAAAATGTCTTTGGCAAAGTTTGTTTTGCAATTTTTATGTATAATTGTGAGATGTAGATTCCCAGTCAGGTATACCAAAAATGTAGGATTTTTTGCTCGTACTCGCCTTATCAAGTACGAGTCAAAATATTATGAACTTTGGACATCGTCCTATCATTAACATCGAATAAGCTGCAATTATTCTCTAGATTTGCAAAATTTTTCTATTTTAAAGGTTTATCACGCATATAATCGTTCAAGAAATAAGTGCTTTGCCTTAAAAGTAAGTGAAATGGGTGATAGATCGGTTGATGGGATAAATAGAGAGATTGAAATTTTGAAATATCTTAATCGAAAGAATCCAAATGACAGAAATCATATTATAAAAATGGAAGGACAGTAAGTTTTTATCTTAATTAAACAATTAAATGTGTTTTGTATATTGATAATTTGTATGGGTGTTGATTAGGCAAACTGTTAAAGATTGAAAGTTCTCATGGTGTGTTTCAGTAGATTAATTTTTATTGTTGGATATTTTCTAAACTCATAGTTAGTAAAATGTGGGAAATAGACCTAATAACGGGGAACACTATTTGTATTTCAATTAAATATTTAATTTTTAGTGAATTAAAAGATCACGGACGCATGATGTATATTGTATTGGAACTTGGTGGAAAAACATTAATGGATTATTTCGATCAAATAATTGGAGATAATGGTCGCACCCGAGAAAATGAACTTACAAAAATTCTCTTAGGAGCAGCCCAAGCACTACAACAATTTCATCAACGTAAGACAAAATAACTAGGCTTAAGAAAAATAACTCCGTTAGTTCTGTAACATTTATTTTTAAAATTTAGATGGCATCCATTTGGACGTAAAGGAAGGAAATTTCGTAGTCTCTCTTGAGCAAAGCCAGGATGAAAGTGTTATTGAGTGTAAATTGATAGACTTTAATACTTCTGTTTTGTTAAATCGTGAGGGTAATATAGCAACGAATACTCCTGTTAATTTTCGATATTTAAATAAAACTTTAATGGCCCCAGAGGTACAAGATGATGACATCAGACGTGTAAGTTTCAGATTAAACCTTATATCTAAAAACGGTACTTAATAAATTTTTCCGATAATTTAATTATTTTAGGTGACCAAAAATGCGGATGTTTGGTCTTTTGGTTTAATGGCATTTCAACTTTTTTATAATCGATATTTCAGTAAATTTTTAAATTAATTACATTTGTCATTCTGACAATGAATTATTATTTAGACTTTTACATAAATCTTCTTTTGAAAAAAATGGTTATTTAATTCATTAGACTATAAATATAAGGCAAACAATTATCTGACATAAGAAAATCAAATATTTAAATTTTATTTGTCAATTATTTGTTTACCTCGTTTAGAAAAATCTTACTTTAATAATCTAGTAACTAAAATAAGCATGATTATGTTAAACGAGGAAATTTGAACAAAAATTCTCCGAGTGGCATTATATATATTTAATATTGAATTTAAATATAAATAATTTAGCGGGAATTCATCGATATGGCGAAGTTAAGGATACAATTAATGCTTATCTCAACAAATATGAGCAATATCATTCAATAAAAGATACGCGCTTGGATCAATTTATAAAGGTAAAATTTTGTTGAAAATTATTAGTTATGAGTGAGGCGCTAGCAATTAAATGTCCGACATCTGGTTTAAGTATCGTTATTTGATTTATTTTTAAATTCTTTCTAAATCACAAAAACTATTGTGAAGACAAATTATACAGAGAATTAGCATAATGAATGAATTTATATAAATTATCACAAAAATTTGAGGCGTGCGTCTAAGATGATCCAAATAATCGTCCATCTATGAATGCTATTGTTAGTTTTTTGAAAAACGAATGCGACTATTTTCATTACGAACGTCGGCGTGCTAGAAGTAGTCGAGCACGATTGTGTGTAAATTGATTATGCTGAGAAGTATTTGAAAGAAATCTAGTGTTGTTCGGGTTTTTATTTCCTATATGGGTATATTAAAAATTAGAGACGTTAAAGATTCTGGGTTGACTAAGGAATCCTCTTTCATATCTTCGACAACTCGCTTAAATAAATACCAAAAATTTGATTTAGTAATGGGGTTTCGTTAATTTTGAATTTTTGGATCTTCGCTTTATTGTGTTATAAAATATTTTAAACAAGGAAAAATCTAAATTCGTCCTTTATATGAAATTTTCTATTATTCCTGAGTTTTTTTGTCTTTAACGTTTCTACATATTAACCTCAATCATATTATTTAAAATATCTACAAAGTCGTGGTTCCCTTAAACTATTTTTAAAAATCATTTAAAATTCATCATGGGTTATATGTTTTTTATTATTTGGCGATTTTAGTTAGTATTTTTTGCGTTTAAATTGTTATTTTGGTACTTTATGTTTATACCGCCCTCCTTCCTATTTGAGTATGAGTTAATCTTTCTTAAATTCCACTCCATGTCCCTATGGTATATTCAAATGAGAGACATTTCACAAAGAAGATTAATTTTTCCTTTGTGCCAAGTTTTATGAATATAACTTAACAAGCTAGTTTTTTATAATCTATGATCCGATATTAATTCATGGGCCGGTGACTAGCATTTTTAACAATTTAATGAAAAAGTTAAAAACCGAAATGTTACGTTGTATTTAATGAGATTAAAAAATAATTGAAGATGGGTGGAAGTTTGACTAACAACGTTTTAAACAATGATAAGTAAACTTGAGGGCGGTATAAACAAAAAGTACCGCCAGCATCTATTAAATTCACATTTTATTTTTATTTTGTGAGGCAAGATTTTATTCGGATTACCTGGGAGGAATTAGGATACCTGAAAGGAAGTAGGAAGGAGACCTTCTGATTTCATCCATATTTCTTCATTTTTTATTATTTTTTTAAAGTCGTGGGAAAAATTATAAAGACCCTTTGTTTCGCTTTATCTAAAACATAATTTTTTTTTAAATTTTCCTATGAAAGTAATTTTGTGCTAATTTTGTAGCAGATTTATCCTCTTCACAACAAACTTTAATTTTCCTAAACTATGTATCCAAAATTTTTTTATAGAAATTACGATCCTTTAAAAACTATACAAAAATTAAGAACAAAATTTAAATGTTGTGGAGCTGGGTTATAATTTGAACTATAAAATATTATTTTACATTATTTTTAATTTGGTAACTATTTATACTATGTAAAACTTTATCACATAACTTGCATAAACATATTTCGGGAAGAAGTATATTTTAATATTTTATTTATTTTAATATTTCATAATTTACCAGTAGCTTATCGACTTTTCCGGACCAAAATATGAGGATCGATACTTGCAGACCCGACATTGCTGACCAGGGGTGGGCGCATTGCGTTTTGCGTTTTTTGCGTTTTGCGTTGATTTTTGGCCTTGCGTTGCGTTTTGCGTTTTGCGTAAATTTGGCCAAAATTAACGCAAAAAACCGCAAGAAATATACCCAATCTGAGGGCAAAATCTTGAGGAAATCAGGCCTATGACTTTCCAAAATTCTCAAAATTTTCGCCTGCGGCGCTTAAAAAAGGAAGAAATTTGGCTTCTTGGCCCAAAATTTTCAAAATTTTCGCCTGCGGCGCTAAAAGTAGATCATGGAACTGCTCAGAAAAATATCAGTTCAATATCTTGAGCTCCGATCTCCCTTTATCCCTCCAAATCCCCTGATATCCACGGTATCAATTGAGAATTACAGATAGGCATTTATCCTCCGCTACTCCCCAACCCATCCGACATTCATCAGTAATCGCATGGTATCTTTTTAAATTTCCTTGATCCCTCCAATTTTCCTGGATCCCTCCTTCATAATCGCTCTAAATCCTCTAATATCATTCATAATCCCATTGTATCCCCTTCAAATCATTACCCATCCAACTTAATTGTATCACAAGATCAACTAGGACTCGCTGACTTATAGTAATACTTCTATTTTAACTGAAAAATGGCTAATACTTGATTTAAAATTTTTTTCAGAATTTTGCGTTCTTGCGTTTTGCGTTTTGCGTTTTTTGCGTTTTGCGTTGATTTTTGGCCTTGCGTTGCTTTTGCGTTTTTCACGATTGCCTCTTGCGCCCACCCCTGTTGCTGACCCGAAACGAAATAAAATTATTTTTAAAATTTAATAAAATATGCCGGAATATTATTGTTGTGGGGATATCGATGAAATTTTATGGAAGCATTTTAAAGGAAATTAAAGTAATTTGGTCTAGATACCGATGAGTAACTACCGACGTGCCATCCAGCACAGCAGATCAGCCTGTTACTTTAAGCCGTTTCAGTGGCACTGAAATAAATAAGAATACTGTATCTTTTTTTCCCCCCTATTTCTTTCGCGTGCTATTTTCTAAGTATATGGGGTTGCAACTTCGAGAAGCTTTATCTCGAAAAAAAACTTTGAAAAAAAATTTTATCTTGACCAAATCGTTAAACAAAGTCTTATCATTGTTTTAAAATCAAATTTATCGTTTTTTCGCATGTTTTATAAAAGTTTTACATGGCTTTATAAACAAATTTAGAAAATGGAAAATAATAGGAAAAATTTATTTTGAAAAAATTTATTTTAATTTAAAATGCCTTTAAATGTTAAATAAAATGATTAACATTCCATTTTAATAATTGTATACAATTCATATTCACTTAAATAGAGCACACACTGAAACCCTGGCACTGAAATCCTGGCACTGAAACCATAGTGCTGAAACAGCACTGAAAGGCGAGTAACAGCCTTTGCCTATTTTGATCTGCTGTGTCCAGAGATATGCCATTAATTATTTAAAAGCCCATTATATCTCTCAATATCCCTCCAAATCCACTTATATCCTTTTAAAAATCCCTCAACATCTCTTGTTTTAAGACACAGTGTTCAATTAACGGCAGTTAACATTCTAAATATCCATCAATCCATGGGAGAGCTTTCAATTGGATATACATAGTAGAAAAACGATAATTGTTTACTTAAGTTTTTTTATTTTAACAAAAGTTTGATTATTCAAATCTAATTTAATTAAATATAGTAAGATTCAATATTTTTCTCAAAAATTTCAATTTATAAAACAAATTAATTAATAGAGGCAAAAAAATAATTTATCCAAAATCTACGAATATAAAATGTTTAAAAATAAAATTAAAGTTAAATAAAAAAGGGTTTTTAAATAATAAAGATAGAATTTATGAAAATTTGGAAAAAATCCTTCTTTCTTACTTCATAATGATTAAAAATGGTCAAAGATTAACTTATTTTAAATAAGGCAGTCTGCTTAAAAAGTCACCTTTTAATTTCTTTATTAAATTTAGTTTAAGATCTATTTTTAAATTAAAAATAGATTTAAAATATTAATTATACTGAACGACAATTTAATATGTAGAGAAACTAAAAAATAACTCTTTTTATGCAACCTGGCTTATTTAAAATAAATTAATACTTAAACATTTTTTAATCATCTTGAGGAAAGAAAAAAGGAATGAAAAGGAAAGAACTTTCGGACAATCATTTGTGGACTATGCGGGGAGATAATGCAATTGTACCCATTTTTGTTGCATTTAAATGAAAAAATTGATAATGAGAAAATTTTATGGGAAAAGACTGGAAAAACTTTAATAAAAAATTGGAAAAAATAACATTCTTCGTTAGTCTGCTGATTAAACCATAAAAGACTTAAATGACCCAAAGATTCAATGCAAAATTCTACAAATTTAGGTTAAGCTATATCCTGATAATTCTGAATTTTAAAAAACGAAAGGCGGGGAATAAAGCTGAATAATATAGAAGGAAGGGGCAAAAAAGGTTGTCTGAACAAAATTCTCGTTGTTGTTACGACTCTTCATCGTATTTAATCAACTTTCCCTGTTGTTGGTATAAAGTCAACTGTCCAATTAAATAAGCAATCTCATCAAACCCACGTAAAGAGAATAGGCAAGCATAAGTCAAGTAGTAAACGTGCAATTATTTTGGAATTGTTCGATTAGAAGAATGTTAGTGGCGAAATCTCAACACATCTCTAACAGTGTAAAATCTAAGTTATGATTTTGTCAGCGCGTGATACCTAATTTAAAGTAAAAGATCCTCATTGGATTTATTTTGCCTTTCACCGAATTTTAGCATTTTTGTTTCGTCTTTCGCCTTTTAAAAATTAGTTTCAGCATAACCCTGCTATATAATATAGAAAGAATAAAGAAAAAAGTATAGATTTATCTAGATTAATTTGAAACTGACTCGGTCACTACTGCATTTTCTTCAAACTTCAAAATCACTTTCAATCCTGTTCAATCATCTAGTTCAATCTCTCCATCTTGTTTAATCTCACCATTCTCTGGACAAATTATAACATTCATATTATCGTGGTCAGCAAATCCCCAATAAGTTTTTTCGTTAGCAAAACGATTACAGATTCCTTTCAAAAACAGATAAATGGCAAATGCACTAGGACGATGGATTGGATTGTTTGGAAAAATACATGCCTAAAATAAAAATAAAAATTCTAAAGACTTAAATTATTTATCGAATACCGTATATGCTCTAATAATTACCCTAGGTAAATATTATTTCGAACTGTCTGGAGGGAGTAATTAATAAAGCGGGGGTAATTATTTGAGAGATGGTAATTATTGTTTCGATCTCTCGCAGGAGGGCTTAATTAATAGAGCGGGGGTAATTATTTCAGGGAGTTTATTTATCAAAATCATTACGGTAAATGACAATAAATATTGTAATATTTTTCACAATGATTTATTAAAAATCTTACCCGCATAATTCGATCAAATGGTTCGTTGGAAGCTATTAATTGAGAGTCTACATTTTTAAAATTAGTATCACGTAAAAGTTTGTACATCATTAATCCAAATGAATAAATATCTGCTTTTGGAGTTACCTTAAAATAATTATAATAAAATTGTTAATTATATTCTTATTATTAGGATTTATGTACTAAAACTTGTTAATAATGAACAGTTGCTATCATTAACGTTATATCTACATCGTTAGCTAAATCATATGCTCTAGTTAGCCTTAATTTAGCTAAATTATATGTATTTTTGTATGTAGATTGAAACAAACGATCAGCTTGATTACCGTGTTAGGATCATCTTCACGAATCTCTGGTGCTCTGTATTTTTCTGTGCCATGTTCTACACTTATTAAATTAGCAGCTTTATCTTTTAGAATAACAGAAGAGCCAAAATCAATTAATTTGCATGAAGATATGGAAATATCATCAATTAACATATTATCGAGAGGGATGACAAAATTTGACGCTTTAATGTCCAAATGAATTGCATCTAAATAAGTTTGATATGTAAAATTAATTTAAAAAATTATCAGACCCATTTCAATTCTAAATTACGTTCCGTAGAAGAAACGTTAATTTTGAATAAAAAAATAAAAATTTGTAAATGACTAACATTTTCAAATTCTGTATAAAAATATACAGTCGCGGACAAAAGTATTGCATCACTTTGTTAAATTTTATAGTTTTATCGGTTTGAAAGAAATTTGCAAGATCTTTATGTTAAAAAATAGCTTAATTCATAACTCAGTTGACATGTTTTAGCGTTTTTCGAAATTCCGATATTTTTGAAAACTTTTCGACCGGTCTAACAGGTACTACTTTTTCAACTTTTCGGAGAAATTTTTTTGAAGTCTGTAAATTTTATATGTGATTCTCCTCCAGAATCTGAATACAATGCAAGAAACCGCTTCCAAATCGGTCGGGATTCTACCGAGTTATGATTTTTGAAAATAGAAAAAACACCCATTTTTGCCGGTGTACGGAATTTTGGTCACCGGAATTCTGGTCACCACGCTTTTTCGGAACTTTGGTCACCAATTTTTTTGGAATTTTGGTCACCAGCGGAATTTTGGTCACCAATTCAAAAAACGGAATATTGGACACTAAAATCTTGGTCACCAAGAGGAATTTTGGTCACCAAACGGAAAAAAATTATCTTATCTAAAACTGATATCAAAGTAATAAAAAATGATTTTTCATCCCCCAGTTGATCAATTTCAATGTTTATCACTTTGCTGGCTGATCACTCGCCCGGTTGATCACTCTCGATCACTCTACCGGATGATTGATTAACTGGGAGTTGAAAAACAATATTTTTAACACTTTGATATCAGTTTCAGATAAGATTCTTTTTTCCGTTTGGTGACCAAAATTCCTCTTGGTGACCAAGATTTTAGTGTCCAATATTCCGTTTTTTGAATTGGTGACCAAAATTCCGCTGGTGACCAAAATTCCAAAAAAATTGGTGACCAAAGTTCCGAAAAAGCGTGGTGACCAGAATTCCGGTGACCAAAATTCCGGCACCCTTTTTGCCCATTTTTGTCGATTTTTGTTGTTTTTTCGATTTTCAAAAATTCATAACTCGGTAGAATCCCGACCGATTTGGAAGCGGTTTCTTGCATTGTATTCAGAATCTGGAGGAGAATCACATATAAAATTTACAGACTT